TTGCCATAATATGAGTATATAGTGATGAATAGGGTTTCTTATTGTAGAAGATTAGTTTCAGTTCCTTCAAAGCGAGCCCAAATAGGATCCTACCAAGATTACCATTCTCTGCAACTTGGAAGGTAGGGCGTGGAAAGTGAGCTAGCTGATGAGAGAATTTCAAACGGGTGTCCGTGCCCCAAACCGTTTCCCAAACCCGCAGCCAAGGAAGCCCTGTAAGGAGACCTATAGGCAGCCGCTGCAGGAAAAGGCATATACCGATGTATACTGCCGACCACAGGAGGAACCCAACAATGCATGAAAAGCTAGGAAGTTGTCAAAATAATGGTCCCTTTTTGGGGTACCCTAAATATGAGGTGCCGTATTATACAGGGATCCAAAAAGGGACCATAATTTTGACAACCACCCAGAGTTCTTGTCTGAATGAGCTAGCCTTCCTTATCTTCTGTCCGCCGCTCCTGCCTCGCAACGCTGATGTTGAGGAAGATTGTGTGCGGTGCGCCTTGCATGTTGCCATGTAGGTGTTAGAGTTGCGGTGCATTTGAAGAAATGCTCCAAACACAGCGGCATGGTCATAGCATGTCTTGCGACAGATTGTCGCAATCATCAGCTTTCAAAAGCCCATGCTCCTCCCTTCTCTCCTCGAAATACTATACTTTTAGGTCACACCTCCTATTCATTTCTTCAAGCAGGTCCGGAACTCACAAAGCTGGCAAGGCCAAACTCAACTCAAATGTCTCTCTGCAACTTGAGGTTTCCCAGGCTCGGCGAGATTACACATGTGTAGCAAATGTCAGGAATGTCGCTGATCGCAGCTGCGCCACAGTGAGCTCCCCACCGGCGTGGACTTCAACATGTCCCTCCATCAATTCAAAAACATCCGTCTGACTCATCCAATCCCAGAACTCGAAATCAAGTCAGGCCGCTGATTTTGAGAGGTGCCAACAGATCGCTCTAAAGCCCAGAGCACCTGAAGCCCTGCGTTACAAAGAACGACGAAGGGTCAACGCCGATATTCGACCGACTTCCCTTTTGCTGAAATAGGCATAGGCGCCGTAGCTCTCGCTGGCCTTCCTCCAACGTTGGGCGGGCTAGCGAAACCAAGCAAAATAACAATGTAAGCGTAGGAGGGAGCAAAATCGTTGGAGCAAGTGTCCCTGGTGCTGCCACCGCTACTAACTCTCGACGCAGGTGCAAAATCACTGGCTCTCCATTTGAGCGAATACTAAAACGCTGGTATACAGTGGTGACGAGGAGTGCCTTCGTTCTTGCTGAATCATCCATGTGCTATGATAGTGGCATGAGGAAACTGAAGCATTAAAATCAATGCTAAAAGCTGAAATGGCCAGGAGTATTTCTCTCAGAAGGACCCTCCCTACACCTCCTACAAAGTATACACTGCCCAAAGTAAAGGAGGGACCCCACAACTACTCAAAAATGTCTCCTGGGCATGCTCAGTTCCGCCACGGCATAGTCGAAGCTGTCGGCTTTGCCGGAGATCCAAAGGTGTTCTAGCGTAGGCCTGGGGTTATATTGGGGTTATAATGGAAAAGAAAATGGAAACTATAGGGATTGTAGGGGTTATATAGGGATTATAGGGGATATATTGGGGTTGTATTAGGATAATGGAAAAGAAAATGGAAACTACCATTTAGGGCTTAGGGTCTAGGGTTTATCTCTCTGACGTTGACTGCTGGAGTTCTCACAATTAAGGGTCCCACCATTGGACCATACCTAAACGGAGGGTTTAGGGGGTAATTTCATGTGTACGGCTTTTTTGAATTTCGTGCTCCCGCTATGCTATGTACCGCGAAATAGACGTTGTTGCCATGAGGGTGCCAATCAGACCAGCAATGTACGGACTTCCTGGGTTTTGGGGTGAAGGGGGGCAAAGTAGTGAATGGGCCCGATCTGGCTTATTGAAACCTTGCCTCATCCTGACTTAGACCACCTGGGCCCCTCACACCCCTGCACGGCCCATGAAAAAATAGGCAAACCATCCAATAGAGATGTACAGATACCAGCCTGGTCTCTTCAAGTAAGATCGTGTGAGTGCCTGCTGATATGAATCATTCAGCATTCCGCAGTGTCGTGAATCGAGTATCACATTCTGACTGTTAAGCAGCCTGAAGATATCAAAGTTCAGGCATGGGAGCCTGTCAGCCCATCATGGGGCATGCGCACCCCACAAAACACAAGCTTTCAGTAGAAGCCAGTGACCCTTGTAGCAAGTCAGGATATAGCGTAGGGACCAAGGAAACATTGCCGAGCTTCAAATGAGTTCTGCTGCTGGAGCCACAGGTTCGCGGAGGGAATACAGGGTTGGGCTTTAGGATTCACCCTCCTATAGCGTAGAAGCACCAAGAAAACCGGGAAAGGTACTACAAAGGGAGGCATGTAATATTGTAAAGCTATTGCTGCAAACAAACATTCCCCTAACTATCCCCGAGTTCAGATCGCCCATGCTAACTCTCCTCACTACTCGCCAAGACAATTGCAATGCCCCCCAAATACACGAAGCCTACAGTAAATGACTAAGTGTAATCACCCCCCCACACCCCCACCACCCCCCATCATACACATCCCTATACAAACCCTACACCCTATACACATCCCAATGCAATTCCTTATCTACCCCCACATAATAGTCTCCATTTTCTCTTCCATTATCCCTGTGTCTATCCCTAAGTACTGCTATTTCAGGTCGGTCGCACCTCCAGATGGCACTCTCCGAGAAATTGTTGGAGCCCGGCTTGCAGAAACCGTTTTGCATGGCGTGGTCGTTGATGTAGGCATACGTGAACCTCAGGCTTAGAGGTTTAGAGAGGTAAGCCCCTGCATAATAGATATTAAATACTCCCATTATACGGTATGCTATATGATATATTGGGAATATTTAGTTTTTTTTTTGGGGGGGTGGGGGGAGGTTAATATTGGGGGGAGGGTGTTTGTAAGTATACTACTACCGCCTATCAGCCTGTATCAGCCAGTAAGCCATATTATAGCCCCCGCTATCCCCCCATGATTAGCCGATAGTCCCCCTTAAGTAGATAGAATATGTGGTATTTCGGGATCTTATTATAAAATACTGATACCCAAAGCCATATTCTATCTACTTAAGGGGGCTATATTTGCGAAGTTCCCCGACCAAGGTGGGTGTTCTGAAGGACTTTAGGCTCAGGATAGGCTACACCAACATCCGAATAGGATTTTGCTCACGAGCCACAAACAAAGCTCCCCTTCCCGGTTCAGAGGACAACTTGCCATGAAGACTACAAATGTCATCATAATCATGAATACAGCCGCCCACCACGTTCATCATCATTATTGGGTTCCCTGGTGCAAACGGCAAGTGCAACAAGACATAGCCAGGATTGGGGAGACAAAGCTGTTTTCAAACGTTTTGCGCGTATTGGGGGGGGGCTGGAATGCATGACGATTCGTGCTGAAAAAACCTCTCGTTTGCCTGACTGCTTTCCCCCTCGCTCTTCCTCCACCCCCACCGCACCTTCTTTGCTTGGCGCTCGTAAGTTATGTGCAAGCGGAAGGCTTCCTGGAACTCTGCTTCTCTGCGTCTGTCCTTTTTGCCTTTCTTCCGATTAGCTGCTTGGCCAAAGACCCTGCGGGAAGCCTTCTCCACTGGTATTCAGGGGTGCAGGGAATTACGGATTGACGACAGGTCTGTTGATGGTCCAGGGTACGGCTTCCACTCCGTGTCGTTGAAGGTCTGGTAGGCATAGGCGCCCAAAGGAGACTCAGCGGAGGCCCACAAACCACAGCCTCAGTCTCGGCCTACATATTCAATCAAAATTCTAGTACGCAATTTTCTTCGGGCATTAGGAATCAGGCCGGTTCGGGGAAGTTCGGGACGCGCAGCTCAAAAGTATACAGTTAAGTAGGTTCAATACCATATACAAGTCTATATCTTCTAGAAAGCTATCAGCCATCGCTCACGAGATGTGGTGGAGATCCTAAGTCTGAGAGTTTGAGGGATAATATAGGGGTTATAAGTTATAGAAAATGGAAAATACCATACTATAATGAAAGGCGGAGCATTGGAGATTGATGCTAACTAGGGGAGTAAATGGTGAAATCTACCCGGCTGCCCGCTGTTAAGCCTGATAAGAAAGTATACGATGACCTATATGTCTCAAACATAGGAGTGGTCGGTCTAAACTTGATGGCTGCCTACTGAACATTGGGGGCGTCGCGGTTCAGAGATCACATCGCTCTAGGTCCATCGCTTGGCCGAGTTTTGGCCCAAGTCTGGGTTCCATGTCCTTGCCTCACATAATCAATTTTACGCAAATAAATTTTGATGACTGATCATGCCTTCGTTGAATTTCCCATCGATGGTAGGGCGACAAATCCCAGCCATTCGTTGCATGCTTTCTGAGATCCTTGCGGAGGGGAGCCTCATCGTCGTCCTTTAAGCACAGTCACACACACATCCACACAGGGAGCTTACCTATCATGAATGAGAGGGCCCGGATCACTTTCCCTCAGCTGCAGAAACACTCATGGGTTTCCCAAAATCAGGGGTACCATTTTAGGGGTCCCAATGATAAGGATTGTAATATTTGGGGTTTATATTGAGGTCTCCCTATTCAGGGAAACTACCACTTCTCATTGCGTGAAGGACCACCTCTGCCCTGCAAAGATTTTATGGATTCCCTTAACTGGTCCATTCTGTTCGAAAAATTGGGGTGACTAAGCGGAAGCCGAAGAGGCCAGTATAGGAGGATGGCTAAGGGAACCCATGAAGGTCAGTAAGAAATGTTATTAACACCCTGTTCAACGATAGTTTAACATTAATAGCAATAATACGAAGAATAGGAACACCAATCATGATAGTTATGGTTTGGAATATTTAAGATTTGACCATTACTACTCTTAATGGTTTGGTTCGGGATTAACAAAATACTAACGTCACCCGCTGAGTTGCACGGCAAGTTCAGAGTGGTGATCGAGCCATCCTGGCCTGTTTTACTTGCAGGCGAAGAGGGTTGAGGCTTTAGGGTTGTAGCATCTGGGATGTTTGGGGCATTCCCAAAATTGGGATGCCCTCTTGGGGGTCCCTTATAATCACAATGACTATATTATTTTGGGGTCCATATTGGGGGTTTTCCCTATGTGGGAAACTACCATTTAGGAATGATAAGGGGCCCTAGGGTTATGTAGGCCGGAGAGTTTAACGAGGGTTGTAGATCCAGGGGGGGGAATTACCTGGGGTCTTGTGCTCCTTCCTGACAATTAAGTCCGGAAGGCGGAACAATTTTGACGCCAGCGTCAAGCCAAATGTGCGTACCCGAGGTACTTTATTCTGAGGGCTCATACTTGGGAGAGCATTAACGTCCCGAGTTAAAGAGCAAGCTCATTGTGATAACAAATACAAAATGCCGTGATAATCCACAAGGCTTGTGCTACTGCGTGTTAGATAGCCAAATTGAAGTAAAATGATCCCGCTGTATAGGGTAAACATTATATCAATGAATCTACTTCTCCGATGTGGCTGATCGCCCCTCCAGGGGCTTTGCATGTCTTCTTCCACTAAACCCTAACCCTCAAACCGAACCAACACAACGTCTGGATCTTCTTAAAATTGCTCTAGCCGCATCGTGTGATTCCATGCAAAAACGTGCGCGCACACACACACAAGAATATTCATCCTAGGGACATGGCTGGCCTCTTGTGGAATCTTTAGGCTGTCGCGAGTTTTTCCCACCCCCAAACCCCCAAACCCATCTATGGTTATTGCAAGTACTACAGGTGCTATTATTATTGCAGTGGTCGATGACCCTATCGCTGCTAGTAATGTTAAGCATGACAAAGAGAATTTTCAAAGGTCCAATGCCCGATATTGGCCACAATCCCCGTGCGCCTAGCTGCAGCTGCGCGCCAGAACGTGCGCGAAGTCGAGTGGTTGGAGCCACTTCCTCACTTTGAATTGAGGATCCCTTCTCAGACCCCCTAAGGATCCAAAAAATGGAACCTCCAAATAATTCCCTAGTTCCCCCAATGTAGTAATGGGGGGCATTTTGGGGGGTTCCATTTTTTGGATCCTTGAGGGTGTCTGGGCTCTCAGGATTGGTAGAGCTTCACAATGGGCATGCTGGAGGCTGTATGGGTATTGCGCGCATTTGCTTCAGACCAGCCACAAAGGGAATGCATACCCTGGACAAAGGCTAATGATACGGCTATGTCCGAAAACTGCACCACCTGTTTGCCTGCTCAAATGCCCGACCCCTTGTCGACAGAATCCTAAGGCAAATGCCAAAGCGAGGCACATAAGGCACCTAAGGAACCATACCACCAAAAGATACTCCCTTTCCGGGCTTCCACTGAACCCCAAGAACTTCAAATCGCCGAAGCCTTCCGCCCAAGTCTCGACCAGCGAGGAAGGAATAATGGGCGTTGGAACTTCCTCCACTGCCCTGCAAGGCATGCAACACAAGGTAATGCCTGCAAGACCCGCATGTACTACTGCATCACGCTCCCAACTTCAGACGTCGAAGTGACGGCTGGAGAGCAGTAGTAGCAAAAGCATTGTCAGGCTTAGTTCCCGAGGTTGTCCCTGATAGGCTTTGTAAAAATGTGGTCACAGGTGCTGAAGCAGCACAGATCTCAGAATGGCACACGTCAAAACCTGACCCAAGCCTCCGCTTTCTTGCTATGGCAGCATGAGTGCTAGTATCCCGCTGCCCTATGGTCGAAGCCCATGAACATATCAGCTGTGGCCAATAACTCCCCAGTGATGAATGGACTCTGCGTCCTATTAGGTAACAGATTCAGCACTAACTACAGTAAACTTCCAAGGAAACCCTTATGTCCACCTTCAATGGTTCCTCGGTATCCCTAATATTGACTAATACAGACAGTATGACAGGATCTGGCCTGAGCTCCTCGCGAACCTGCGACAGAAAAGTTTAGGGGCCCAGCTCTTTCCCCATCTGTGAGCGTTGGACCTCCTCTTGAGTTTGGGTTTTAAGGTTTGCTACTGTGGAGCTTTGGAGGTAAGCATCTAGCCGGTCATGGAACGCTGCGGGTCTGGAGAGGACCTTCTGAGGACCTACAGTCAAGCAATCCTCCTGCGACTGAAACCAGACATGCGCAGCATGCTGCTTCTACCTGGCTCAACATGTCTTGGCTAGTACAGGAACCTTGCTCACCCAGTCAGAGGGACTGAACCTTTCAACCAGTAAGGCCGAAACACATTCAAATTTGCAGTTGTGCTGAATATGGACCGCAATTTACACCCCAAATTCTTTTTTCCAAATGATAAGGACCGCACAAAAAGGTACCCCTACTTTCCGGACACTCTCCAATATCTCTCTCAAATCCCCCTTTCAAAGCACCTCCTTGGCCAACGGATGGGGGGAGGTCACGGCTGGCCCCTCCTTCCCAGGTTTAGGATTTAAGGGTTAAGGGTTTAGGGTTTAGGATTTAGGGTTTAGGATTTAAGGCTTCAGGATGTTTAGGTTTGGGGCACTTTGAGCGACAGGGAGCGAACGCGGGGAAGCATAAGGAGGGGAAGGCAGGGGAGGGAGCCTAAACCCAAAACCCTAAATAGTAGACTCCATTTAATTTTCTATTTGCTTTTCCATATGATTCTCTATTATTGGGGAGGGAGGAAGGTTGAGATGTTGATCTGCGCAGGGTTGGAATCTTGGCTCTATCAGGGTTTGTGATTCGAACCGCCAAGCCTGGGGAGCTTAGTGTTTGGGGTACATGTTTCAGAGGCGCCACTTGCATGTCTTGAAGTTTGGGTGTGATGTGGGGCACGGATTTGAATATTTTTTGCCATGCATTGTGCTCCATGCAAGACAAGACCTCCGTTGAGCTTCGGTCATTTCGAATAATATCTCTCTCCAAGCGCCTGCAGGCTACAGCTTAGATATGGAGCACATTTTGGCCTTACTTTGCACCATGCACGGATGAGGACGGCTTTCAAAATCTTATCGAAGCTGGGTTTGGCCCCAATCCACCAGACAAAGTCTCCTTTCGCAGGCCTCATCGGCCTCATGTCACTTGGGGCTCAGGCTGCAGGAGTTGGCCTCCCTTGCAGCTGCAGAAGCTTTCAGTTTGTTCTTCTCCGGTTGACGGTTGACGCTGCGCTGTTGAAATGAAACCCAAGATGCATGGTATCCCATGAAAGGCGAAGGTCCACAAAGAAGGTGCCAAACACAAGCATCGATTCAAGGCTCGACGTGCAAAGCTTCGGGCTTCGGAGTCGCAAACCTGAAAAGCTGCAAGAACCATCATACATATTGGTGAGAGCAGCTTCAGAACCATGAGACCCTCAGTGCTGAAAACTTAGCATGAAGGACCCGTGACGACTGAGCCCAGCAACCCTTTTGATTTACTGGCTGTTAGCAGGGGATGAGGGAATATAATCCCTACAAAATCCCTATATAATGTACGTATACATATATATATATATGTATATTCCCATATTCCCTACTAACCACCAGTAAGTTGAAATTTTGCAGCAGGCCCCGAAAGATTATTTGCGTGCCTGACTCTCTTCCACACTGCATGCAGGGATTACTATGGAATTTAGGGTTATGTAGGGGATTATATAGGGATAATGGAAAAGAAAATGGAAACTACTATAGTATTTTGGCGTTATATAGGGATAATGGAAAAGAGAATGGAAGCCCTCAACTCTGACTTATCCTAATGAGCACGCCCTGTACTTCCTATATAGCACCAGGAAGGTGCTGTACATTTCTCAGCATGCATATAGAATCTTGCCGTTTGTTATATAGCTGTGGACACAGATATAATTTCTGGGCAACACCCAGGCTGCCTCCAATGCCCGGGCAGCTAACTCATTGAAGATGCGCTGCTCCATCCACGAGGTGGCGGCGCGCCTGGGCTGGTGGGGATTTGTCCCTTCTTCAGTTTTTGGGCTGCTCAAATGAAGGCGTACAAGCCGGTGAAACAACAAGATCCCAATGCTCAAATGAGGCCTCTAGCGGCATGGAGAGAATGCGGTCGCAACCAACTGTACGAAAAGGGAAAAACCTTTGAGCGTGACGAAGCCTCACTGAAAGGGCATTGCTCAGCATTGTAGCAGGTAACGAGACTGAACTTCACACTTCACAACGAAGAGTCGGCAGGGACTTTACTTTCTCAAAGCCGATCTCGACCCCACCCCCGCCAAACACCTGCGAGCGTACGCGCCTTCATCATGCCTCTCTTCATTTTAGATTCTTGCATGGTCCTTGCATGTTTTGACCGAGATTCGTGAAAGTCTCGTTCGCAATGTCCTTGGCGTGCAGGTTTGAAACGAAGGCGGTGGATGGGGCTTTCAGGGCTGCTAGCTGGGTGTGGTCTTCATGCGTAACATTAAACTTACTACTTGCGTGCTGAGGGGACGCCGCTTCAGGGTCGCAGAGGCTGAGTGGCTAAGACCTGGCACTAGTCTTCTGGGCACAAGTACGCTGTTTGACGCAATCCAAATTTTCAGATAGAGTCGTCCCCATAGCACCAGAGCAATTTCGGTAGTTTCTACATATGAGGGTTCGCCCAAGATCCGGAAAAGCCGCACTCAACTAATTAGATGAATCCCCCTAATATGAAACCCCCCGCCCCCTTCCGCATGAAATATTCCCAGTACCATATAATGCAGTATAAGGGGGCGGGGAATAGATGCGGATGCCTCATACAGAGCCCCTGACCAAAAGACATTCAGACATTGCCCTCCGAGGATCCTTGTGGAAGAGTGTGGTGTTGTAGTCGTCTCCCTTGCCCCAGCCGGAAATCCCTGGCTTCAGATTGTTGGACTTGGCAGAAATGATTCCGTCCTAGTGATTGGGATCATGTCTCCAGTCCGGAAGGTACGAGTAGATCTCCTGAAGCAGCTCTTCGTAGAGTTTCCCTTCTTACATTTAGCATTCAACCAGAGGCATTACAGACATAAATTTGGCTGACGCAGGGGTATCACCGAAAGTCCGGAAAAAAACCGCTGGAGATATAGGACTTCGAATTTGGATTTCAACTATGAAAGAATCACCTTACATCTGACAAGCAGATCATCTGTCTGGATAACCTCAAACATCTTCGCTCAGGCAATATCTGGAAGCAGAGCAAACATTGCATTTGGGGCTCGGCAGGGTTGCAGGACTTAGGATTGCCATCCCAGTCTCAATGACTACGGGTCTTTGGTTTGGTGTTTTTCACGTTTTGGGTTGGTCTGCCATGACGTCTTGGATCTTATGGCTTTGGGTGACGACGCTTGATATGATGCATCTTTTCGGAAGCCAAAATAATAAGAACAGCTCACGAAGAATTCCAAAATCCTAGGCCCCCACATGCCTCAGCAAAATTATCCCCCATCCGTATCCTGCCCTTCCTGTTCCCCCCCCCACCTACACCTAAGCCCCTAAACCCTTAAACCTCAAACCCAGACCCTAAATGGTAGTTTCCAAATTTCTTTTGCATTACCCTATATAACCCCAATATGCCATATAGATTCATAATATGGATCTATATAGCATATTGGGGGTATATATAATAGTTTCCATTGTCTTGTCCATTATCCCTTTGCAGTAGAAGACGGCAGCAGCCTGGAGTTCCCCAGGTATGCTCCGCGATCTTCATCAAGAAGAAGGTCATGTTCCTAAGAGAGAGGGAGCGCAAGGCCTAAGAAGAGACAGTGTAGGGCAAGCCTCCACAACAAACCAGAACTATGATAGACCATCTCAGCATGTATCCGCCAGTGATGGTGACGAGTGAGTCTTATCATTAGATATGTGAGCTCTAGTCTAAACTCCTAGTATCCCCCTTGATATCCCTTATAGTAGCCTCCTATATTATCCCCTATATAACCCCCTTTAAGGAGTTTAGACTATAGCTCATTCAGTTGAAGGCATTGCACAGGCCTGGGATGCTTTTGGGCTTAGAAACGGCAGTGAAGCAATGATCTGGGGTGCGGTTTGGCTGCGCTGACGCCTCAAACATAGGGGTAAACTGGTAGCTTTACAACACGAGCCCTTTGGAAGGCCCAAAATGGACCCCTACTATCCCAATGTGATCCCCAGATATTTGTGGAGTTCGCAAGAGCACGCATTTTGAAAACCTCCAAGTAGAGCGGCTGCACCGCAGGATCCGAGTCTGCACAGCGCGGCTCGCCACGTGCGCGGCAGCGCACCCACGCCTCAACTTTCAATCTGGGAATCAGATTGAGCAGGCTTAATTGAACTCCAACAACACAAATGTTCAGCACCTTAAATGTAAACCCCACTATGAATCTAGAGAATGCACCGCAAACAGGACATGCCTATAGGCCCAACAAACCATTGCTGCGTCATAACCGAAAAGTCTCAGCCCGGGCGCCCGTTGGATGGCTCGGTACTGCCTTGGGGAGAAGAATAGCTATGATTCATTGTTGGATCCGCTGTATGCTGCAGCCGCGATGTACATGACACGTGTTTGCGGAGGGTGTGTTACCCAAGATAAACTGACGCAACTTTCTACCAACGACTGGTCATAGTACGTGGGCCTTCTTTCGCTTGAAATCTGAATGACAGAAGGCGCAGAAGACTGGTTCAGGCACCCGCCCAAAAGCTCTTTGCCTTCTACGACCAGGTGTGCGCTGGGCGTTCGGTTTGACGGGTGTTAGGGTCACAGGGGTCTAAGGTACTAGAGGGGCCTGAAGAATTACCAATGTCTACAAATATACACACATGGTTCTCAATCCCTTGTATACTGAATGGGGAAAATGATATTGGTCAATACTTAGACGCATCCCTTGGACTTGCTGTGCCCACATAGGGTAGGGACAGCAGATAGGACAGCTCCCTAACACAGACATTTACAAGGTACTTAACCTAGAGGTTGCTTCGAGGGCATGTCCTATCAGGGATTCTTGGGGGGATCTACCTGACCACATCCTAAACCCTAAACCACGTCCCAGAGACTGGAACTCCACAAATCCAACCCGGGATCGGGAGGTAGTCCCGCAACTGGAACAAAAGCTTCACAGATTTCCAATTAGAACGTGTTGAAAAACGTTGTGCATTGTGCTGGATACCCTCTCAAACAAGGCAAGTTGCCAGGAAAGCTGCTCAACAAGCAACACCCAACATGCTGATTATACCCGGCTGCGCCATCTTCAGAGGGTCTGACGGGTTGCCATACACCCATGTGTCCTGATCTTCTGGAAGATCCCAAACTTGCAGCCCCAAGAGGGAGTGGTTGCTGCATGTTTGAGCAGGCTGCTGTTTGGAGGAAACATGTTTTCCTTGACGTTCCATTGAATCTGCATGTGGAAGTCTAACAGCCTCATGGCCAGGAACCCATCCACATTATATTCTGATGGATGGTAAGGTGGTGCAAGGCCATTGCATTTTTCAAGAACTTTCGCCAGGACATTCAGGGACTGCACACTTGAGCAGCACTACTCCGACAAACCTATGTAAAAGAGCAATGGTTCTGCCTGATTTTCTCATTCCGCCGACTTCTTCTGGGCCTTTACGGTAGGGCAACTTATAAGGGCTCATCAGATACTGTGCGAAGGTACCTGTGGCCACCCCAAACTGGCACCGTCATGCTTCTAGCTACCATGCACTATATCATTCTGGGGTCCTTCGACCGAAGGGGGCCCTGCTTCAGGGGGTGGCTTCGCTGAGCTTAGGAAAATGTAGGTAGAAGGATTCCGAGCTTCCATAATTGGAGGGTCGTGGGTTCTTACCCCAATAGTGGAGAGCACGCAGCATGGGACTTATTGAAACATGGAGAATCAAATGGAAAAGCAGATGGAAAATGAAACGGGATTATATTGTGGTTTGCAGGGAACGTCCAAAGCAATCCAAAATAAGCACAAAGCGAGCATGCTCAAAAAGGAGTTCTCCTCGATACTAGGTCCCCTTATGGACCACTCAAAACGAAGAAGAATCCAATAATATAAAACAATATAAATATCATATGGTTGCGGGGATGCCGCGAAGGAGATCTCAGCTGTGATGACAGTCACATCGGACTCGTGTCTCCTATCCCATTGACTAACTCGAAACGTCGTCCTCAACACACTCTGTTTGCTTGCACTTCTACAATGCTACCGTACGGGCTTTGAGTCGAATACCCAAACCTGGGAACCTAAGCCCCAAACATTAAACATCAAGAGGCAGCCACTTCCATGCTGACGACAGGCAACTGCTGGCGCACCTCTAGCAGACACACTGCGGCTAGTGGTCTTTGTCCCTCCTGCCTGGCTTCTTTTTGGGACTAGCAGTACATTCATCTGCGCAACTAAATCGACGATTCGCCGCTAAGACGGATGGTTGCCATGTTGGGAGGCTTGTGGGTAGGTGGAAGTGTTCACAAAACATTTGACTGTTTCCAAGCTCAATGCAATCCTGGATAGGTTGGAGCACCCCAGAAAAGGAGACCCGTCGCCCTTGTCTCTGCGATCACCCTTAGCCCTGTATCAATCCTATGATAAGATCTAGCCCCTTAAGGCACTCTTGAAAAACGTGACCAAGTCTTCAAGAAACCTTCCCGACTTCAAGCCATGGCTCTAACATTCTAGAACCCATAGACTCAGCCCTGTAACCTTGACCCCAAACCCTAATCCCTAAAACCCACACTAAGGCACATTCTTTGGGAACCTCACGTAGTGCTTGCTTCGGGCTCCTTAGAGGTTCATTTTGGGGATGTACCAGACAAAGGAAAAAGCCCAGGGGCAGACTGCACGTCGGCAAAGAAAGCATCAAAAGTTGAGGCAATAACCTGAGCACCTCGCAGCCATGGGTGGTTTAGGGTCGGGTCTTTTTCCAGAAGGCTTTGGGGGTTGAGCGTTTGGGTGTTTAGGACGTTGAGTGTAGGGCCTGGGGGTTTAGGGTCTGGGGGTGTAGTGCTTGTTGTTTGGGGCTGAGGATTTAGCGTAGAGCTTGGGTTCTAGGGTTTGCGGGCAGGGGGCGTAGGGCTTCCGCTGTAGCACTTGGAATTCAGGTCTTGGAGGGATTCCGATGTAGGGTGTACATTAGGGGAATGGAATTACGTAGTCTTCGGGGCGTCTTACATAATGGCTATATAGCAAATGTTGTATATCAATCTACAGTGTACTACATCCATTACCATATTTTGGTCGAACATTTGGGTTCCTGTACAGTAACGGTGCTGATATGTGTTTTCCGCCGCTGACGAGCTGGAATTAACGCAAAGTTTCGTGTAGGGCAAGGAACTGAGAACCGCTCTTAACTTGATGCAGTCAACCTTGGCCTGTACACCTCCAGGGCACCATGGAGGGATATGGGTCAGAGTGACAGGCTTAAGAGCCCAGAAAGTCATTGGGCAATACACTTTGAATACTACTTCCATTCCTCTGGTTGGTTTTGATCTCCATCGGACAGTCAGGGTCATGGCTTATGCGAAGTGCCAAAAAGAGAAAGGCATATTCGCTGTAGACCAGTATTCATGACGGGTGGCTTCCTCAAAGCCCTGTCTTCGTTCCAGGTAGGCGGAAAGGGTGGCTGCGACAGCTCCGTGTTGGCAGGGTGTTCGAACCCCGAAAGATTTGACATAAACTGTCATGCTCACCGCAAAAGGCTCAAACAGCGTTTTGCGTGACACTTTGACTTGGGTGACGCCATGCACTGAGGTCTCCAGACTTTGAGTCCTTCGCAAGTCTTGTCAGGAACTATCCCTTGGTTGACTGGGTCCTGCCTGGATACTCCTGGCTCACCTTCCCAAGGATGCCCTGAACCTCAGAGATGTTTGCTGGCGGGCCGGTATTGTCCTGAGCGTGCGCTGCTTGGGCGATTGGGCCGCCGGAGGTTTAATGCATAGGGGCTAGGATCCGCAAACCACACGATATTTCAGAAAGCCAGCTGTAAAAGGACAGTCGTCTTCATTGGGCCCTCCTTGTAGAAGGACAGTAATCTTGATAGCGCGTTTGCTTGGGTTCCCTGTTAGTTTGGGGCAGGGTATGGCGGATATAGCCTTCAGTTCAAGGTGGAGGTTTTGGATGGGTACCAAAGGCTTCGGCTACTAAGGGCTTCCAGCATTTCATACGGTGTCAGTAATCCGGTCTGGAATTTTGCACGCGCGAGATTGCAGGAAGTCGCGCGATATGGCACACAAGAGGTGCTTTATGTAGCACGAAAACGCACGATGCAGACCAGATTCGTCCAGACCACATTAAAGGATTTCCGATAAGGTGGCGGAACAGCTGTGAAGCTGTGAAGGGGCGGGTGCTTCTCGGCCGGCATATGTTAGAGTACAGTGACCTATTCTCGTAATGGTGGACCTGCCTCCCAAATTCCCAAATCAAGCCGGACTTCACCAAAAGGTATTTTCTAGGGAGTAATTGGGATTCGGGGTGCCAGGGCTGAGCTAAAACCATTAAACCCCAAACTGTCCTAAACCCCTCAACCATTCTAAGCCCAGCGTCCGTGCGGAACTCAGTGCACAGCGCCACACCATTGGGTGCCTCGGCGCAGTCCTTTCAGGCACGCACCTTCGTGCCTTCTAATGCCTTCTGTTTCAAGAAAAGCGTCTACAAAATCTTGGGAATAGTCAGGGGCTCTGCCCGAAGGCGCGCTTGCTCACCCAAGACTTGCGCTTGACTCTGACCTTACCCGATGTCCTACCTCCTAGAAAGCACATCTAGGCTAGGATACGTCTGGCTTACCTTTTGCCGGGGATGTCTTTAGGAACTGCGGCAGCTACTTTTGCAAGACCCATTTGAGAATAAAAACCCTCACACACCCCTGTTTTAATTAGCGCTATCACTGGGTAGGTGGCCTAACCCAATAAGGGCACAAGGCCTTTCTTCACCCCTTAACCCTAAAACAAAGCCCCGGTCCTTCAAGCCATATCCGCCGTAGCCATACCTTGGCATCACAAAAGATGCCAAGCCGAGTCCAAGCATGGGCGGCACGTGAAAAACACATGAAAACACAAGCAGTTTGGAGAACCCAGCATGATGACAAAAACCATCGACCTTTGACTAAAGCAATAATATTGCTTTTATAACTACTTTTTATTATTCTTACGATTACTACTGTTACTTGATTGCAACCATTACCATTATTATTACTATCATGATTTCTGATTGAATTTGTGATCAAACAGCCCAGAAGGCCGCAGAGCTCTAGGTGTGAACATGCGTAAGCAAAACACCTGTGAATCATCAAGATGGACTGCGCGCAGCGGAAGTGGTGCATAGCTCGTAGCAGCATGATAGGCTGTTGAGAACAATGACTGGGGGGTCTGCCTTTCTTACCGTGGCTTATGACAGGGCTGAATCCTCCGTGAGATATACTGTTCAAGGGCCGCCGAACATGCCCCCCATTGCACACTTTTGTCAATACAGGGGGACGCCGCTTAATTACAAGTTGGGTTCACACCAAGTGGATAATATGGGGTAGGCATGGTAACAGGTCCCATGCGCTATGGTTCTGCAGTTTACACATACATCTGTGTAACCAAGGGCGGCCTGCATACCCGCGAGACTATGGCAAGCCAGCCACGGGTGATAGGCCACAACGATGTCTGTACCAGACGTCTCATCAATCCTCTGTGCCAGACTTTGAAAGAAGAAGAATCAGCACTTCAATCGGGGCTTCCTGTTCAGCTCATGTGGAAGCACGTGTCCTATGGCCCCTTATTTAAGAAGTCCTTGCACTAATTGAAGGTCCTCACTTTGGAGCAAGTAAGGGGGTCTTTATCATCAATAATTCATGCAATCTCCAAAAGCAGGAGGATTGTCTGGCAATGTCTACGGATCTCATCCACTCAGGCTATGGAGGCCTCAAAACTCACATCAAAAGAGGCACTGCAAAGACTGTCGTCCTTTGCAAGCCGACCTCCTTCCGTTTAGGGGATTAGCATAAAGTGAACGTGCTACCTGTGGTAAGGGAAGTATTGAAGGCTTTTTGTATTCATAGTAATAGACTATTAGTTATCAAGCTGGTCAGTAAGGCAGCGCCCAACTCCTACAGTACTCCCCTATACTGCCACTCTACAGCCCCCAGAAAACAAGAGAAGCCAGGTTTGACAGGAAAGTGCTCTGCAGATGAAGCGCGAAGTAGAGATAATAGTACCTGTATGGAGGGTCCCCTTAGTAAGGGTTATGGCACATTAAGTACTTACCAGACTGATGACCTTCACAGAAACCAACAGGTCGATGTGGACGTCCTCGAGGAAGGGGTACTGCGGGCGGCCCCAATGCCGTAAGGAGATCACAATTCAAGAATAATCTGAGCGAGGGTCATTCTTGCACAGCATGTATACATAAACAAAGCACTCTTGTCTACCATCAGGTCCGAATTCAAGTTCATTTTTCAAATGGCCATAACCTTTTCTATCTTGGGTGGAGGTTACCCTAAACCCGACCCGTTATGGCATTCGTGGAAGAACGCCCCATGTATTGCTGCAGGGTCTCCAGCGGTGGAGCTTTGGAACTTGCGGAGGAAAATCTGCACCATTGGAGCCTCAGCTCTTGGATGCTCTTGGGCTCTGCTACCATGGGAATAGGGTTTAGGGTTTAGGGTTTGGAGGGGGTGGTGTGTAGAGGTTAAGACCATTTATAAGCCTTGCTTCACAGTGCTACAGTTCATGGTCTGCCGGCTGTACCTCCTATGTTCTGGACACACTAGGGGATGCAAATTACGGCGCTCTTGTTTTTAAGCATTTTTAGATCTTTTTTAGCTAATTCTGGTCTCTGCAAGACTTAGCCCTAGATGCAGGCTCATTCATCAGCGGGGTAGTAGGACGGCGACGATAAGACTGTAAGAACGAAAGTCCTGCCGAATGCACCTGCCCAAGTAACATGGACCTCCAAAAAAGGCAGTGAGAGGACTACACTGATTTTCAGATGTGACAGCGTTTCACATATTAGGTCGCGGTTTGGGGATCACTCTCCCATGGTTCTGGGCCAGGGCCTTTGGGTTTAGCAGGTTCTTTTGCCAGGATGGCGTCTGGCGTGCACCTGGGTACTGATGATCTATGAGCCCAAAATCCCGGATGCGCAAAGTATGGTTGAAGGCTTAAGGACCACAGTTACTCGCATGTGAAAGAAGACCTCCACTGAATCACAAGGACCTTTTAGCCCCCCCATCCGAACACTGTGGCAAGCAACCAATCGTGAGGCCAGTGATGCCCAGCCTCCTCGGCAATTGTTAGAGTCTTGCGTGTTTGCTATTATAGACGTGGCAAGACAGCTGTTTCGAAGCAGCATGCTCCCACTTGCTGGCAACTGTAACTGATCAATCTTGACATGGATGTATGGGCGGTCTAGGGTTGGGGCATTTGCGAACCTTGATGTCTAGCTATGACTACTAACACTGCCGAAAATACGGCTGGTGTGCGACACATTTAGCCAACGAAGCCCAAGCCTGAAGCAAACAACGCAGGCTTACCCCAATATATGCCCCATTATAGTATAGTGGTTCCCATTTTCTTTTCCATCATCCCAATATAACCCTAGATTAGCCTATGTGATCCCAACATTAACTGTTAGAGTTTGCAATAGCCGCCGAGCTTCTGGAGGTGAGGCAGAACAGCCCGAGTCACGTAGATCACGTCGCGGATGCTCATCGTGCGTGTGGCCTGTTTGCTACGAACACGGAAGGGCGAAGCCTCTTACAGGAAACCTCCGACAAACATGCTGCTTCGTCCCATCTCTTTCTTGCGTTTGATGGAACTGTGAAGTCTAAGTACGAAGCTCAGGTGCATGCACCATTGTGAGGTTGCCGCATATTTGCTCACGTACATGCGCGGCTGTCAGAAGCAGATCTCCTTTTGCGAGTTCGTTCCAACTATCCTTCTGTTGCTGGCCACCTGCATCTAACAAACCCTGAACGAAAATGGAAACCACTAGATTACAGTAGGGTGCATTTTCTTTCTCAGTCACCCCTTTGAAGATCCAACCTTCTTGAGCAGGTCCAACCTGGCCCTCGTTTTGGTATTTGGCTGTTTTTCTCCAATAGCCGGCAGGGGAATACTGCGGCTCTCATTGTCAGAAATCTTGTGTTGTTTATGCCAAGGAGCTTTGCCTTCTGAATGCATTCAATGTAATGGACATGGCCATCAACTTCTTAAACTTTGCATGCTAAACAATTTTCTTCTGCTAGGCCTTCTCTTGAAGGGCATCACAGAATCAGAAGGAAAACGCTGAATCCTCCATGATGATGTTGTAACGCTGTATAAAGTATTTTCTCTCAAATAGCGGGACCCCAACATACGACCCAATATACTATAGTCCTTATGTGGGGAGCACCAATTAGGTACCTCTAATTTTGGGAAGCCCTAAACCCTATATGTCCCTATATATCCCCCATAAACCTCTTTAAAGGTACCCCAACTATTGGGAAACCCCCAAAAAAGGAACTCTGACTGCTCTAAGCAACGTCGTGCCTGCCGCCCAAAGCGCTGATCCATGCGCTTGGCGATATCAAACGAGGCCTGATTTTGGGCTTTAGGGTTTAGGGGTTTAGGGTTTAGGGTGTGGCTTCATTCTCGGGGTTACATTGGGGTTATGTAGGGGTTGTATTGGGGTTAGTTGGGATACTGGAAAATAAAATGGAAACTACTATAGTATGTTAGGAGTTATATAGTACCTCTAAGTCTATCCCCTTCCCCTACTAATTGCAGGAAGTACGCTGTTAGGCCTACACCCGAAAAACTTGGACCCCAAGCCCCTTACTGTTGTCCCAAGGGGCTTATCGACATGGATCTGAGGTGAAGGGCAAAGTAATCCCTGGATCCTCCTTCAAAGATTGGATTCATGGAGACACTTGCAGGTGTCTTAAACTTATGGTCTGTCACTAAGCTTAAGAACTAACGAATTGGGGGGGGGGTATTCAGTATGCGAGTCTGGGCAACATGTCTTTGACACTTCAGTTTTGTCTATTCGCCCTATATAACCCCATACTAACCCATAAGTTTAGTCCCATAGAATTCCTATGTTAGCCCCTATATGACCCCTATGTTAACCCAAAATAACCCTTATATACACCCCTAGATTTACCCCGGTATAACCCCTATCTCAACCTTAATTACATGACCCCTATATCAACCCTACATTAACCCTGATATTATCCTCTCTATGAACCCCTTTAAACCCTACAGTAACCCCTACTTGGATTATTATGCCCGGCTCACCTCGAACAGCTCCGGAGCCATGTTCTCTGGCCTGGCTGGATCTGAGCGCAACCGTAGAACGCCAATATGGGGGTTTAAAAGGGTTAGTGTTGGGGCTATATTATATGCTTAATGCAGGGTTTCTATTTAAGCGTTATATATCGGGGTATATAAGGTCCATGTAAGATTGATACGGGCGCTTTATAAGGTTCAGGTAGGGTTGATATAGGCGTTATATAGGGGTCATGTAGGGTCACATATGCGAAATATCGGGTTAATATAAATACAACAATCCTACAGGTCTCTATGAAATCAGAAGAAGTGCTGTTTCAACACTCAACAACCCTGCTACCCAAGAAGCTCAGAGGGCTTTGAATCAGCCATTATGGGCATGTTGACTTGTCTTACATCCTGGAGTTCAAGGAAGGTTGGGCACCAAGACATTTCCCATGCCAGGTTTTACATTACGGTATATTATAGATAATGGAAAAGAAAATGGAAGCTATTATTTAAGGTTATATAGGGATAATGAAAAAGAAAATGAAAACTACTAGTTGGGTGTCTCGGTGTTTGGATTCAGGTGTTCCAAGAATGGGTCACGCAGGTTGCAGTAGATGTCTTGCGCAAACAAGTCTTAAGAAATCGATTGCTACGGTTTTAGGGCTTAGGGTTTCCTACGTCGTCCCAATCAGCATTGCCAAGCTGGAGCTCAGCAATCAAACGAAAGAGCCTGAACTTTGGGTATTCAAGCTTTCAGCCAAGCTCCATGCAGCTTGACGGCCGAACCCTCAATCTATCTCTATGAGCACACAGCCAGCCTGTTCAGGTCTTGCAAGTGTACTCCCAAGCTCCACACAAATTGCGTGAAACAGAAGACTCGCGCCGTTGACATCTGTTCATGATTGACAAGCTGAGGCATCAGCTGGATGTTGAACGGGGCTGCGTTCCATGCGATGTCCCCCAGCCTGACGTGTGATGCACAGAAATTTCAGAAAGTGCAACGGCCGCGGCCTGTGACTTTGGAAAGGCGGAACTTGAGAAGGCGACGCTATGTCGGGGTCTAGGGGAACCCACCAGAAGTTCCACCGCAGCTCAGGGTGGATACGCTCAGAGGGAGTGAAACCGAGGCTTCTGCAAAAAGCGAATCTTCAAGATGTTACAGATGCTGAAGAGCTGTGAAATGTGGGCTTCAGAAAAGGGGATCCCTGTTTCAGGGCTCCTCTCAGAAGGAATCATAAGATGGGGCACAAGGGGGACCCCTACTGTTGGTCACACCCCCTTCCGTGCCAGCCTGCTTACATGAGTGGTTCACGGAGTTCCTTCCCAGACAAACAGCAAGCATTCGGATCTTCTGTCCAGCTGCATACAACCTGTCGCAGAACTTTCTCGTTCCCGAAAGGGATCCTGGATCTGAGATAATGTGTGGAAGCCTGAATAAAGAGGAATATTCTCCCTTAGTCGTAATAGGTTACAATATATTTGAAATACCGCCAAAGCGCCGTTCAAATCAGTCAGGCCCTAAAATTTTTAATCCTAAACCCTAAACCCCATATCACCCTATATAGTCCCAATATAATATATTCCACCCACACACCACCCCCCGCTTCTCCAAACCGCACAGGAAGGCCTGGCGGCAGCGGAGAAGTTTGCAATTTCGTCGGCCTTGTGCCAGTGGGAACCCCAGACCCTGCATGGTGGTCAAGTGTTGAAATTTAGGGCTAGGGTGCAGCTCAGTTTTTGGGTTTGGGTCACATTAGGTTTGGGGTTTATAGGGTTCAGGTTAGGTTTTAGGTTTTGGGTCAGGTGAGGTTCTCGGTTTGGGATGAGCTTAGGGTTTGGGTTTTGGTTGCAGGGCTCTTGTAATTGGAATAGGGTGATGTAGGTGCATCTTCCACTGCTTGTTTACATAGAATACGAGGGACCATGCTGGTATTGCCTGGAGTTTCTACCATGGGTTGACGCCGAAGGCGTCAAGAGTCTAAAGCCCAGAATTCTGCAGGGTAGTTGAGAGCTCTGAAAATTGGCAACCAAACCTCGATACTACAGTGGCATAAATAATTACCAATATCATATGGGCTTAGGGTTTAGAGGCCTGATATAATTACCAATATCAGTTTGAGGCCCGTTTGAGGTACCATAGATCCTAATTAATATTGATAATTCTTTAGGCCCCTATGTTACCCTACTGCACACCCCCTCTCCCTCTCTCTCTCTCTCTCTCTCGCAGACTCGGGTGCACACCCCCTACAATAACAAACTGCGCGTAACGTTCACCCACAAGTCCTATGCGCTCGAGAACAGAAGAGGGAAGCCCTGCTTCAGACTGCTGTATACCGAATTCAATCAAGCA